ATTTTGTTCAAAGGACTACAGAACCTGGAAAAGCTGTTGCTGTTATTGATGTATAATATATTGCCATTATTGCTCTTTTTATATAAATATATATATATAAGCTAATTGAAACTCAAATATGTGATGAATCCAAGGTGTTTCAGTGAGTGCTCACCTGTGCATGCAAAGTTGATGTCATCTTTAGTAAGTAGTAAAGTCATAGGCTTGCCAAAAAGAAAATAATAAGTGACACACAGGAAGACAAATGTCGACACACTGGAAGACAAATGTCACACAATTTCAATTTTATGTGTAACCTAGAAATGATGAACTTATGGGAACAGAGAGCAGAATTGTGGCTATTAGGCTTCAATGTAGGTCTTTTAACAATGGGGAAACAATTGGTTTACGGATATAAAACTGCAGTTGGACAAGAGGCACGGACTCTGTGAAGCCTAGAGGTCTATTGAGAGCATGATAAATATGGTTGATAACAATATGCTATATTTTAAAAGTTGTGAGATAGTATACTTTAAGTGTTCTCAAAACAAAAATGATGAATATGTGTGATATAACATGTTAATTGGTTTAATTTAGCCATGCCATTGTGAACATACTGTATTCTGTATCATAATTGTGCATGACTTTTTTTTAGAAAAAAAAAAAAAAAAAAAAAAAAAAAAAAAAAAAAAGAAAGATGGCTGAGCAAGGCAGGGGGAGCAAGCCAATCAGTAGCACTTCCTGCCTGAGTTCATGCCCTGATGTGCCTCAATGATGGACTGTGGGGGCTGAAATAAACCCTTTCCTCCCCAAATTGGTTTTGGTCAGTGTTTTATCACAGCAGCAGAGATGCAGGGACACATATAAATGGCTAAATATTAATTAATGAATCTGTATTAAGGTATATAACTATTAGTTTTTTCCTGTCACTCACTCTGTAGCTCAAGTTAACTCTGAACTCTTAAACTCAGTCTCCTAGGTGTTGGGATTCTAAAGATACTCTCTAGAGAAGTTCCCCTCCCAAACACTTGGATTTTCATTGGAGAACAGGTGTTAATAAAATGTATTGACTAAATCTGAGATTTACTTACAGAAGTAAAGTAGGCCACAGTCATATAACAGAATAACGTGTGGCTACTGAAGGAACTAGACCACACCTTGAGTACAGATAAATAGTAAAAACATGATGCAAAGTGGGGGAAAGGCAGCTACGTGTGGTTGGTTTCCATCTTTACAAAGGGAAAAAATACAGCAATATGAAGTATTTACACAGACTCTACAGCACATGATTTTTAGAAATGCTACGTTAGGTTTAAGTTGTATTCAATGGCAGGGAGGAAGAGAAAGGAGACTTTAAGACCATTTGACACGCTTGTTTTTTCACCTGTGGCAGTGACTTATCGCCGTCAGCATGCATCTTTAGCTTCATCAGAGCCACCTTTGCGGCTGTCCCGCTGGTTTTTGCACCCTTCCTTCCTTTATTTACTGCCCCTCCTGTCTTGGAGTCTAAGGAAGAAAGAAGTATAAGCATGTAAGCACTTTCCCATCGAAGTTTCCAGAATTTCTTTCCTTTTTTCTTCACTTTCTTTTCCTTTTAGTTCTTTTCTCTTGTTCTGAGACAAGGTCTCCCCTAGGTAACCTTGGCTGGCTTGAGATCCGCCTGCCTCTGATGGGACTAAAGCATACAGCACCATGTCCAACTTTACCATTATGGCCTTCAACATACATAAATTGCACAGCACAGCTAAGTATATTTACATGACTAATGGTCAATCTAAGTAACTTCTACCTTAAATAAATTCACAGGTACTTACTTCTTTCTGGCCTAACCGATTCAATCTAAAGTGGCCATTGATGCTTTTATAGAACACTTGTGGTTTCAACAAAGGCCCCACCATTAATATGGGATAAAAGTTCTACTGAACTAACATATTTCCAGAGAAACAGCAATGTTCTTTCCTGGTGCCCCGTTGACATTCACAGCACAGCCAAATCACCTTAGTAGAATGTATTCTGTAGACAAAGCCATCCATCATGCCAACCTCATCAACATACCTAATTATAATCCTTAACAATAGACCTAAGCTACCGAACAAATGAGATCATCTACAATTTCCTGATTTTCACTGGTCAGGAAGGCTTTGTACAAAATATGCTAATGTTATTAAAATGTACATCCTTGGGGCTGTAGAGATGGTTTAGCTCTTAAGAGCACTGGCTACTTTTCCGGAGGACCTGGGTTCAATTCTCAGCCCCTGCATGGCTCTTAGCTGTATATAGCTACAGTTCCAGGGGATCCAAATCCCCTCTGGCCTCCAAGAGTATCAGGCATGCAAGCGGTACACATACATTCATGCAGGCAAAACACCCATACAAATAATTTTAAAACAAAATTTTAGAAAAGAATGCAAGTTCTTACACTGGGCTGCTAACGAAATCTCTATAACTGGTGATCACACATAAGAGGCAGGAGCAGCGGAGTAAGAGATGTACTCCAGGAAGCAAAGCTGCCACACATATTTGCTAGAACTCACCGATAATGTCTTTGACAAGTTTCTGTGTGGCAGCCATTCGAGGCTTTGGGAGCTCCAGTTTTTCACACCCATGATCTGACTGATGACGGTGTCTATAAATAACAGAAGAGTTGTCACTGGCTCATGTACAACTAAACAGTTATGTAAAGCTTGAATGGTCCAGGTGATACCTTAGGCAAAAGTTCTTCTCACAATAAGGACATATCACTGCCACCAGCTCTACTTCAGGACAGTCCTTGAATGAACACGAGTAAGATTTGTGTTCATCTGTCTTTGGTCTCTCCTTGATTATATTCACCTAAAACAGTAACAGGAGAAACCGAACTATAGTTCCCAATTAAAATACCACAAAAACCAGTGTTAGAAAGCATCACCCATATCATTTTGGTTTAAGTTTATTAGATTAAGTTATATGTTCTCACATACAAATTACAAGGAACATTTGTATGAGAAATGATTACTACGCTTATTGTTCCACTTTGTCATAACTTTTCTGACGTGTTTTGTTTTAAGTTAAATTAAAATGACTTTTCAGTTTCCCTATCTTTTTATTGAGACCAGGTCTTGCTATGTAATACCCCAGCTGGTTCTGATTTTTAAGTATTTCTATTTCAGCCTCTGAGTGCTGGAATCACAGGGGTATACCACTGTGCCTAGTTTATTGCCTACAGTTTTACTCTCTGCTTTGTTACATTGCCATATAAAGATGCCCTTGCCCAGGTAGCCAATTCATCAACCCTCAAACAGGGAGTCATAGCTACTTCCTATGCCAGTTTTAAGAAATGAACAACAGTTTAGGACACAGAACCCTTAAAAATCGTACCTGTAACATGAGGCAGTTTTCAAAATTGTAAACTAATTAACATGCTAAGTGGAATATTTTATTATCAGAAAACATTACATCAAAACACAACATGGTTTTTTTTTGGGGGGGGGAAGGAACGAAAGAAACCGACTAACCACATTATTATTGAGCATAGAGAAACTAGAGTTCTAGAATTAAGTAAATCTAAGCAAATGATTGCTTGAAATCTGTAACCATAGGAAAATTCATTATATTTATGGAACATCTATTATAATTAAAAACATAAACTTTTTCCCAAATTTGCTGCAATGACCTAAAGGTAAAATTATTTTTTCTTGAAAATGTATCTGCTAATGTAAGAACTATTTATAAAAATCAAATGGTATAATAAGAAAAAATCATAGAGGGCCAGATGTATTTTTTAATAAGAATTATAAATTACTATAACCCTAAATATAATACATTCTTTCTACTCAGTCTTACATAATACTAACAAGTTAGGTAATTTTTACTTTCTTCAAATAAATCACACACAAGGGTCAGATGTGGACTAACACCCATGCAAACTCGGTTTTTTTATAACTGAGAGAATGAAAGTGAAAATTCTCCAATAGGGCTCCATGAATGGGATAAACCAACTGAAAGTTACTCAAGTTACAAGCTGGTGTTTCCATTTCAGTGTGGGGAATTCTCAACTAACCCAGTGTCCTGCCTTGGAGAGAAGTGATGCCAACTAGTATCTGAACATCAGACTTTGGACAGCTGTTCCGAGTTTCCTCAAAAGACCCACCTGGCTCTGCACTAATTTAAGTCCTTTATTAGTAGTGATAGGGTAGTAATTTGGTTTCTGTCTTCGGCTTCCCCTCCCAATCTATTCATGTTTGGAATCAGGATAAGGATTTTCTTTTGTTGGACTAAGGTGGTCTAAGGCTGACTGGGTCCAAAACCTTGACTGCCACAGAATCCTAACAGCAGACACCAGTTAAAATGAACACTACAATGACCAGAACAGTGACCTAGAAAGACAGTATGATGTGGGCACTGAGGCCAGTGTGTATCATACATAGCCTAGTGCTATGAGTGGGCTTCCTAAACAGAAATGTTAGGAATCAAGATTATGAGCATAAAAATGTGTAAATACCAATCAGAGCCAATTTTCTTCAAACAGAAAAATATCAGAAATGCAGCAAAAGATTCTTCATATATAATTAGTTTAGGATGCTAAATGTCTGGTATACCGACTAGCTTTAAATCTAATTAACATGAGTACAAATATATAAATTATGTCAGATAAGAGAAAATTAAACATACCTCAGGGCAACCATGAGAGTCCTTGCTTCTGTGTTCAAGGCTTAAATGATTTCAAAAAAGTGTTTATTTAAATACAATCAATTAATTCATTTAATGATAACTGAAGTATTTTGGGTTATTTGAACATCTCACATTCTTAAGGTACATTATGTTCACTACACTAATGACTTTCATGTAAAAACCAACTGAAATCCACAGAAAGGAGTGTCTAAATGTTCACCTACAATTGAGTAAAACCAATGCACCACTTCAGTTATCTTTAAAGTGCATGGAAACTTCAGTTAAATGAGGATATGCAATGTCAAGGCATGTCTTCTTAAAACCTTGAATTGTCCACAGGTCATATTTACAAGTGATGTGTGCAATACACCATCCATTTTAAGAACATTATAGGTTGGACTTTTTTCATCTGTTAATTAAAGTACAGAGAACAATCATGGTTGGATTTCTTTCTTTTTTTTAATGATTTAAGTATTTATTATGTATACAGCATTCTGCCTGCATGCCAGAAGAGGGAATCAGATCTCATTATAGATGGTTGTGAGCCACCATGTGGTTGCTGGGACTTGAACTCCGGAACTCTGGAAGAGCAGCCACTGCTCTTAACCTCTGAGCTACCTCTCCAGTCTCCATAGATGGATTTCTAAAAACTATATTCTTTATATATGGACATTATTTTATCATTGTAAATTATGATACCCAATCTTAAAATCCACATTTATGACTGCATTTCTTGGAACTTCAAAGATTAATGACATAATATGTATAACTAATTAGAGCCTATAACTAGTCAGCTTGAGTTTTCCACAAGTGACAACAATGCTAAACATCAACTGTCAATGGCTAGTTAGAACTACTTTAAAAATCATTCTAATTTTCAGAAATTAATCCCACACTGACAAATACCGAAGTTATTTTCAAATTCTACATAAAAAACTTAACTTACCAAAATATTCCTGAACAACCATCACATACAAATGGAAGAAAATCTAAAATTGGAGGAAAACATGGTAGGTACTGGTCAGTATCTGACTTTGATTTACTTTTCTTATACAAAAAGAAGCTACTGGCCAATTCTATAAGCAAAATTTTCTTTTGACTGTCCCTGTGTAGCAAGTCATTATGTAATCTCTATTAAGCCAAAACTTCGAAACTTTCAACTCTAGGAAAAAGTGGCTTAATCAACAGGAGGTTGACATTACTCATAATAACTTTGTTAAATCATAAAAATCACCTTTTTGGTGGTATTTTTCTTTTTCATTTTGTTTCTGAGATTTATGAGGTGCTGGTTTTGAGGACTGTACACTGTAGAGTCTGCATTTGTCATAAAAATTCCGGGTTTTAATTCTGACTCCATATCAATCTAGCAATACTAAATGGATTACCTAATAGTAAAGCCATGGATATAATATATACTATATAGTATATATCATATATATATATATGTGTGTGTGTGTGTGTGTGTGTGTGTGTGTGCGCGCGTGTGTATGTATGCATGCAGATGTGTATCAACCTGATCTGCATCTATGTCTATCATACTTTATTAGTTATTTCGTCCTAATGCTGTCTACATACATGTGTTTTGGGAAGTTCATACAAGTATCAATTCTCTGATATGGAAAGTATTAGACAACGATAGTAACTTTTCTACTAATCCAAGAGACACTTGGATTAACACTCGACTAATAAACACTAAAGATATGTGAAAGGCGAAAGGATGAGCTGTATCACAGATGGTAGACATTTTTAGACATTAGTCAGCCTGACCAGATGTACATAAATGTAAGAGTCAAACCCAGCTAAGTTTCCATAGGAAAGGACCACATGAAAACAAATTTTAATCTGTTAAGTGGTTCATAACTACAGTCAATAGTAAAGGACAATGAATTATATCACCTGTCCTGCTGTCTCTGCTTACCACAGGTGTCACACTAAATCCAGGCCAAATCTAAGAGCTGGATACAAGGCTTGCTACGAATTGACTGAAGCTGCAGCGAGCTGAAGCCCTGTATACACATTTGAAGTGTAATCCAGTAGGCAAAGGCTGAGCAGTCTGTGAGTCTAAGACTTGAAGTACTTGCCGGCCACAGGAATATAACACCTACTGCCAGGATCTATGTTTATGTCGGTGTCTCTGTTCAGTGGAGAGACCATCACCATATTATTTATTAAACCTTTCCAAAAATGCACTAATCACTTAAGGGAATCCCGCACCAAAATCAATGCTCTGTGTATTCAAACAGCAATAATTAAACAATGCTTGAGTGGGGCAGGGGGGAGGAGGGAGTCCCTAAGGACCCACTGGAATAGCTTGGGGATCAGAAACCCCGAGACTTAAAAACCTACGAACACAGTCAAAAACTGATGTTCAACTCATTCGTCTGACAAAAAATAAATAAATAAAAATAAAAATAACTGAAGAAAAGGCCAGAGACAATGGATGCTCCAAGGTCTGAGTGGTAAGGACTGAAGGGAACTGGAACTCTGGTCTATGCCATTTCGTGGCCCA